GGGGAAGAAAAGCCAAAGTAGGGAAACTCAGGACCTAGAGAGACCAGGCTCAGCTGAGCACTGCAGTACCGACAAAAGAGGGGCATCTGTGTCTCTGCACGTGGCCCCTCCACACGCTGAGCATGGCAACACTGGTGCACGGACTTGTGCCTCTTTGAACACCAACGAATCTTCTCCCTGGAGACTGATCTCCTAGAGATAGTCAGAAATGTCCCCCCATAAAACAGCCCAGCTAATGAGTACCCCTGAGCTTACCATCAGCTATTTAGTGCATCACTCTTAAATATGAGGGGACAATCACTGACCACCAGACGCTAAGGAAACTTGTTTACTAACAGGCAGAGAAAAAACAGTGCCAGAACTCAGGAGAACAACAAATATGTGGCAAACAGAAGGAAAATGTAAATATACATAATATCATCACTAAAATAAGATACACATCCATAAAATAAGAAGAAAAGGAAGATAAAGCATAAAAAACTTTTTATCACTAAAAACGTGGTTTTTATCCTATCTATAAAAATGAGAGAGGAGAAATGTTCAAAATGTAATAAAAAGGTTTAATGTTATTGTCAGGCCAGATTAAAGGGAAGGGGGTCAGGTGAATTATGTAAGTATGGGGCCAGATCCTGACTTTATTTAAAATTTTATATTTTGTTCAACATTGGATTATTTTACATTTCTTTTGATTTTTGAAGTACTATGTTAAGCTACTAATTTTGGGGGGGGAGGGCAGGGGGGATTAATTACTGAGGTTTTTTTGGTGCTTATTTTAATTTTGTGCCCAAGGCATGGCCTTCACTATCCTCACTCTAGTACCAGACCCGGACATGGCTACCTCCCAGAAACTAGAAACAAAAAGAAACAAACAACTACCACAAACAAAAAGGGGCAATGCAGTAGAGTAAATGTAAGAAAATTAGAAAATCAGGGTGGTGCCTGTAGCCCCAGCAACTGCAACGAAATAAATAGCTGGGCGTTGTGGCTGATGCCTGTAAGTCCCAGCTACTTGGGAGGCTCAGGCAAGAGAATCGCCTAAGCCCAAGAGCTGGAGGTTGCTGTGAGCTGTGATGCCACGACACTCTACCAAGGGCAACAAAATAAGACTCTGTCTCTAAAAAAAAAGAAATTAGAAAATCAATTCAGAAGATTAAATATTCAAAATAAATGAATTCTAAGATAAAAGAACATAGAAAACAGGGCAGTGGGAGTTAGCAGAGAATTAATACAAGAAATGTCCCTGATGGGGAACCTCTGAGTCCCCACACTGAGGGTACTCACCAAGTGCTCACCAACTACCCACCACCAAATGAATAAAGACCATAGCAAGGCACATCAGTATGAAATTTCAGAAGACTGTAGACCTAGAGAAGATACTATGAGCTTCCAGAGAGAACACACAGATCTCCACAAAGCATCGGTCGCTGGAAGGCCTTTGCCATAGCAGTGCTGGAAGCTAGGACTGTGGAGCAATGCCTCCACAATTCTTTGAAGATTATTTTTGTGCTTAGAATTATAGACCAGACAAAAATCAGTCAAATGTGATAGTGGAATTAAGACATTTTCAGTCATACGAAGTCTTAAAAACTTTTCCTCTCCTGTAACTTCAGGAATGTACTGGAGAATGTGCTCCAGCAAATGAGAGGGAATAAACTAGAAAGAAAATGAGGGTGAGCAGTCTAGGAAACAGGGATCTGAGCCGGAAGAGGCAAGAGGCGTTCCCAGCTGACGATGAAGGAGGATGGGGATGAAGGCTCTCGGAGCTGCAGGCTTAGACAGCAACCAGTCCACAGCACAGCAAGAGGCTCCGGGGTACCAGGAGGACGGCTCCCAGAAAAGGATGAAGTGCATCTTGTCTGTGACGTGTGTAAACTTACACTGAGAGGAGAGGAGACTGCCCCTTCATCTACTCAAATACTGTGAACATTATCCTGGGAGGAATGGGGCCAGTTAGTGGCATGCAAGAAATGAATCCTCACCGTCCACAACAGGAACTCAGGAGAGGATGGCAAACAAAAACATCCAAAGAGCAGATAAGCACATCATTCAGAAAAAAGGAGGCAAACACAGAAGACTCAGCCCAGAAGAGAAAACTAGGAGTCAGAGTGGTGGGTCCAGGGACGCTTTCACAAAAGCTTATTCCAGATCATTTCTCTCGGATTTTGACTTCTTACCTTTGTTACATCTACCTGATCTGACCAGTCTCTGTTGAGGGACTCAGTGCAGTTGGTGGCAGTGTGACGCTTAATGGACTGAGTGACATGGTAATAGCAGTAAAACATCACCATCAAGGGCACAACGAAATTTACTGCAATAACTGTCATCGTGTAAGACACAAAAGACCTGGAAATAAGAACAGGAAGACAAGACTACTCATTTATTGTCCTAAACGAGAGAAGGAGAAAGGGGATAAAATTATTAGAAATAATAGTGGCAGTCATGATATCGGTAAATTAGGAAGTATATTCAATCTTTAGTTCATTTGGACAAGGGGTTGGCAAACCATGGCCTGTGGGCCAATTCCAGCCTCCCAACCATCTCTGCACATGAAGTTTATTGGAACACAGCCATACACCCTCAGTGACATATCAGCCAAGCTGCCTTCACAGTACAATGGCAGAATTGAACAGCTGTGACGGAGACCATCTGGCCTATAGAGCTAAATAATTTATTTTTTGACTCTACAGAAAAACTTTTAGATGTAGATTTAGTTTGAGATTTAGAATTTTTCTGTTTGCTTTTCTGAGCCATCTCGTGTTTCCTTTAATGAACTAAATAACCCTCTTTTCACTGGAATATCGAGAGCATCATGAACTAGCAGGTGAATCTTGGCAGTGACTGTGCACTTTTTGCTACGTAATTCTCAGAATATGCCTCAAATCCAAATCATCTTGAAAAGACAGGAGGGAAGCAGCCTGGGCTTTCACCAGAGCTGCATGCTGTCTAGTTTCGTTAACCCTTTTCCTAGTCATGAGCCCACCCCTGAGATGTGCAAGTATCAGAAAAGTGACTGGGATCTCCCACTGCTGCCTTAGGGGAGGACAGAGGAAAGGGAGGGAGGGACAGAGTAAGGAGACAAAGGGAGCTGGATGACTTTTGCTTGCAAACAAACATAATTCACTTTTCTCAGTTTCGACTCTTGTTTGAATCACAGCATCACTAGCAAGGAAGCTCTTTGCCATACCCTGCATAAGAAACATGTGATTTGAGCTTAAATTTGAAAGGGTGAGAAAACGTCTGTATTAGAAGCATTTGATGATGAAGTGTAAACTTGTCTCTTACGCATCATTTTTCCGCCAGTTTATGGTACAAGTAGCCCCAGTAGGATCTGGGGCATAACTAGCCCACCCTGTGATAGGCATCAAAGCCCAAAACAGGCCATTGACCCAGGCCCCCAGAATCATGCCGATGTAAGAGTTGGTGGTCATTCTTCTCCCTGTGATCAAGCATATGAAATATTAACATCATTTGCCAATGATGGGACTCATTTTATTTTAATTGATGATTCAAAATTCTTATCAAGTAGATTTTTTTTTCAAGTGGATTCTTTACAGAGCTCTTTAGTTCACTAAAAACCTACTTATATAAATTTATATTCTGAAAAAAATGACATTTAAGCAGAAACCTAAATGATAATAAAGATCAGTCAGAGGAGGCTCGGCGCCTATAGCTCAACCGGCTAAGGCGCCAGCCACGTACACCTAAGGTGGCGGGTTCGAATCCCCAGCCCGGACCCACCAAAACAACAATGACGGCTGCAACCAAAAAATAGCTGGGCGTTGTGGTGGGCGCCTGTGGTCCCAGCTACTTGGGAGGCAGAGGCAGGAGACTCACTTGAGCCCAGGAGTTGGAGGTTGCTGTGAGCTGTAGTGCCACGGCACTCTACCCAGGGGGACAGCTTGAGGCTCTGTCTCAAAAAAAAAAAAAAAAAAAAAAAGATCAGTCAGAGGAGCAAGGAGAAAGTTTTCTAGGCTTAGGAAAATATCATAAACAATGGCTCAAAAGGGGGAAAGGGGGTGGCCAGTACCCCAAAGTATGATGACCCTACTAGCCAAACCTGGAAAGGTGACCAGGAGCCAGGTCATTCTTGCTTTATGAAATTTAGATTTTATTCTAAGTACAATAATAGGAAGCCATTGAAATCTTTGAACAATGTTTGCCAGAGAAATAAAATTGACCCTGATTGCAAACCATGATGTTTATATTTAAAAGTTATTGTATGCTGAGTAGACGTTAGTCAAGAAATGGATTCATTAGGAAAGCTGAGAAAGTGCTGTACCTATGTCAGGGCGGCAGATGGTCAGATATCGATCCACAGCCACCACCGTGAGCAATCCGATGCTTGCCATTCCAAAAAAAATATTCAATCCAGCATAAATCTGAAAATCAAAATTAGACTCCACCATTCTAAGCATCCTCCAAAAAATTTTACATTTTTGTCCTATTGCTAGAGTACATGTATTTCCAATGTGCATGCTTTTTTTTATTTTACTGTTTAAAATACAACTTCCATTGTCAAATTATAACTGGCTTAATAAACGAATTTAAGAGTTTTAAGATTTCACTAATTAAAGTAAGTTTTTAGAAATATTTTAAGATGATGAAACTTCTATACAACTTTACAAAGAGAGCAGAACAAGCCATAAATCAGGGTCCAGGGCATACAACCAACAAAAGATTAATATCCAGAAGACACGCAATTCAACGGGAGAAAAAGAAAGACAAACTCAGTAGAAAAATGGCCAAATGACGAGTAGGCTATTTACATAAGCCCAAGACATTTGAACATTTATGACATAAGAAAATACACAACCATAGTAAGTATTCTACGAAATAAAAATTACAAGATGGCATTTCACATCACAAAAATGAAAATTTAAAAGTCTGACAATCCCAAGTGTTGGGGAAATGTGGAGCAATAGAAGTTCTTGTAATTGGAATAATCAGTGTAGAGAGCAATTTGGTCACATCTGAGAAATTGAAGATGAACGTTTTCTATGACCCAGCCATTCTTCTCCTAAGCGATATGTCTAGAGAAACTCACATTATTTCAGGAGACATGTATAAGAACATTTAGTGGGGAATCTGTGGTCTTCTGATTTCAAGACTGTTCTTTTTTAAGCACCGAAGGAGGCAAAAAAAAAGTTTCATCCTTCTCTACCGCACCCCTTTTAGTAAAAGAATTTATTCTGTAAAATTTGGATTCAGTCAAAAGGCTGCATCTAAAAACTAGAAGACCACGAGTTCCTCATCCTGCATATAAATATGTAGTAAGATAGAAAAATATTCATGGGAGGGAAGGAAATAAGATTGTAAATGGTATGCAGTGGCCTTCAGCAATATCTGTAAAGTTTTATATCTTTAAAAAGAAAAACAGTCTGAAGTATAGATTGTGAAAACATTAAGATTGGACATAATTTGTTGATACACACAAGGGTATCCAATATTCTCTCCTACTCTCATTTTATTCTCTATAATTTAATGGCTTAAAGAAGAAAACTGTAAAAAAAAATAGGCCAAAAGTCATATTTACCTACTATCCTAATGCCAAGAAATATTAATTCATTTCCTTTTTAGTAAAAATAAGAATAAATGTATTTAATGTCCTTAATAATCTCATGAAAATCTTTCTATAGAGAAAAAAATCAACATCATAGCTTAACTACATTCCTCAGAATTATAATTAAGCTAGTAAACATTTTATTATTTTAAACAAAAGCAGGATATTTCCTTTTGAATTTGTAATATACAAATTTTTATTTGAATATACAAATTGTAAGTCATCTATAGTTGAATGCTAGTTGTTGTGTTAGTCCATTTTTTCCTTTAGGTTGGGGGAATTTTGAAAATATAACAGTGGTTAGTGAATTTTATTTCTCATATTAAAGAATATAGTTCTAGTCACTTCTCCTTTACATAAAAGTTGCTTTATATTAAAACACAGTTACCTATTATCTTCTAACACTCTCCTTGATTTAAACCCTTGGGATTTTTTTTAGACATTTAAATTTACATTTCTTTGATCAACTTTATTTTTCTTTCATTCCAAAGATCTCTAATACCTGGCAGCCTGCATATCCAAATTTCCAACTTCCATGTAGATCTGAGGCAGCAGACATGGGATAGCCAATGCTACTGACTCCTATATCAGTAACAGCCAGGTTAATAATAATTGCATTTGTGGGTGTGCGAAGTTCCTTGTACTTAATGAAGATGCCCAGAACTATTATGTTGCTGAGAATACTTATCATACCTGAGAACACACACACAAAAAATCATGCATTTTGTTTAATTCGAATATTTAAAATCAAAATGAAATATTCAAACCCTTTTGAAAATGTAGCAAATCTATTTTAGTTCATTTATTTGAAGAGCTCCTGCTATTCTTAAAACTGTTTCTAACATCTTCAGGGTCAGTCTCTTCTGAGAAATAGAAGTAAAATTAAAACACCAAGAATCTGCCAAATGTACAGCCAGCAAGCCAGCTGGCTACCCAAGCCAGCACTGAAAGTTGGTTTTAAAGTCATTAATACCAACCGCTCTGTCCTTGAAAGTCATCCCTGGTTTTCATGATGCCACCCCTGCTGGTTTGCAGGAGACATGTAAGGCTGATCTTACCTTCTCTTGTGGCAGCTTAACTTCCTCCTCCCCCTTGCTGAGGCCTGAGGCTCTTGTTTGTCAGTAGTTCCCTTTCTCCAACCATCATTCAACCCTAGCAGCACATTTGTCACTGTTCCTAGCTTGACACACGCTCCAGTTCCACATCTTCTCTTTTCATGCAACTCGTTGCCATTAAACATTTCTTATG